GAAAGTTCCTGGAGATAAAGAAGGTAGTAAATATGACTATAATGTGAGTTGTATTTTGTATATTTGTGGGATTTATCCTGTATGTTGGCAAGACTTAGTATAAAGAAGTCTGCAGGCACGTGGAACATATGCTGAGAAAAGTGTTCGATATGAGTAGGAATACAAGTAAGCATAGTGGATGGTATAAGAGGCTGTGTTTTTTTACATGAGAATTGGAAACTAATGGTCCAGAAGTGAAGCAGGGGGTTCCTCGGGGGTGAGGACAATGGAGCCCCAACGCGCTAGGGCGTCTGCATGCAAGACTCTGGAGATGAGGTTCAGTGGTGCAGATCCGTTTTATTGTGGAACTACAGGGGTATATATAGCAAGAGGGGACCAATCAGAGGGAGACACATTGCTACAGGCGACCAATGGCTGAAAGGCTGGGGTACTGTGCACGTGGCTCTAGTCTAGGAGTTCGTTCAGATGGGCGTTGATACTTACTGGTGTGCTGAGGAAGCATGTCATAGTGGACTGTGCTCACACCATTGCATCAGCCGCAGCGCTGAGACATACTTCCCGAGCTCTACGTACACAGAAGAGAAATGGTAGGGGGAGAAAAACATAGCTTCTGCTTCCGAACTCTGAAGCACAGTCAACTAATTAATGAGCAGCTTCCACTCAGCAGAATTTGCGGATGATTACTGTCCATAGGAAGAGTCAAGAAAGGTTTGAAGATGCAAGGAGAAGGGAAAGCGTGAGAATGCAAAATGATTTATGTGTTATGGAGCAGAATCTTGCATCACAATAAATCACAATAAAAATTACTGTAATGGTGGGGGCAGAGGAGTCTAGACAGATGACAGCAGCTTGGTGACAAAAGAGCCAGTGGGGGAAGAGGAGGCGGGAGGGGGAAGAACCAGTGAGGCTTGGGTTGGATAGGTGACATAGCTACCCAGGGTGGGTTGGAAAGCAGTAGGCTCCATTGAGAATGTGGCATTAGGCTTGTGAGGATTTGGTGGTCTGAATTTTTGCTATAATCTCCTTGAAATGGTATCTGGGATGTAGATTCCTGACCCAGAAATTGCTGGGAATAAATAACAGACCAGGTCTGTTCTGAGGCAGGAGCAGCAGAAAGCTTTAGCAGTCAGAAGCTCAGTCATGATCTTTTGTTTATTTTTCAGAAATTTTCTTAAGTTTGTGTTTAAAATGGCATGTGAATAGGGAGGCCCTGACAAGCTTCTTTTCTTTTCTTTTTTTTTTTAAATAAGTCTTTATTGTTCAGATTATTACATTTGTTCCTCTTTTTCCCCCCATAGCTCCTCTCCACCCGGTTCCCACCCTTCCCTGCCCTTACCACTGTCCTCGTCCATAGGTGTATAATTTTTGGCCAGTCTCTTCCTGCACCCCCCACACTCCTTTCCCCCCAAGAATTGTCAGTTCACTCCCTTTCTAAGCCCCTGTTTCTATTATATTCACCAGTTTATTCTGACTTAATTTTTAGATTCTCTTGTTGATAGATATTTATTTGTTATCACTTTGTTGTTCATACTTTTTATCTTAACCTTTTTCTTCTT